ACGAAATTCAACATGCATTTATGTTCAAAGTCCTAGAGGGAATTGGACTGGAGGGAACATACCTCAGCATAATTAAAGCCATATACAACAAACCCACAGCCAACATCATTCTAAATGGAAAAAACTGGAAGCATTCCCACTGAAGTCAGGAAACAGACATGCTGTCCACTATCTCCACTCCTCTTTAACATAGTGCTTGAAACTTGTGCAAGAGCAATAAGACAAGAGAAGGAAATTAAAGGAGTACTAATTGGAAAAGAAGAGGTCACATTACCTCTATTTGTAAACAATATGAAGTTATACATGAGAGGTCCCCAAAATTCCATCAGAAAACTGTTAGAAATGGTTAATACTTTGAGTAAAGTGGCAGGTTACAAAATCAACTTACAAAAACCAGTAGCTTTTCAATATATCAATAATAAGCAATCAGAAAAAGCATTCAAGGAATTCCTCCCATTCACAGTAGCTTCAAAAAAATTTTAGGAATAAGCCTAACCAAAGACATTAAAGATCTCTACTATGAAAACTTCAAATCTCTAAAGCAAGAAATGGAGGAAGACACCAGGAGATGGAAAGACCTACCATGCTCATGCATTGGTAGACTCAATATTGTGAAAATGACCATCTTACCAAAAGCAATTTATAGAGTCAACGCAATACCAGTCAAAATATCTGTGACACTCTTCCCAGAGACTGAAAAAAAAAATCATCCTAAAATTCATAAGGAATCAGAAAAGACCCTGGTTAGTCAAAGCAATCTTGGGCAAAAAGAACAACACTGGCAGGATTACCATACCAGATCTCATGTTACTGAGCTATAGTCATAAAAACAGCATCATACTGGCACAAAAATAAGATGAATAGATCAATGGAACAGAATAGAAGGCCCAAACTGAGTACATGCAATTTCAGCCACCTGATATTTGACAAAGGTACCAAGAACACATAGTGGAGGAAAGACAGCATCTTCAACTATTGGTGCTGGCAAAACAGGATCTCCACCTGCAGAAAAGTGAAATTGGACCCTTATCTTTCACCCTGCAAAAAAGTCAACTCCAAATGGATCAACGACCTCAATATAAAGCTTGAAACTTGGAAACTGCTAGAAGAAAATATATGCAGTATCCTTCAAGATATAGGCGTAGGAAAGGTTTTTATAAATTGGACACCAGCTGCTCAGGCATTAAGGTCAACAATTAAACTACAAAGCTTCTTTACAGCAAAAGAAACAACCAAGGAAGGGAAGAGGAAAACCACTGAGTGGGAGAAAATCTTCAGCAGCTACACATCTGACAGAAGATTAATATTCAGTATATACAAAGAACTCAAAACAAAAGAAACAAGAAAAATAAATGACCCAATAAAATGATGGACTATAGACCTGAACAGAGCTCTCAAACGAAGAAGTAAAAATGGCTAAGAAGCACCTTAAAAAGTGCTCAACATCCTTAGTAATTAATAAATGCAAATAGAAATCACTTTAAGATTCCATCTTGATTAAGAACCGTTGTGTAAAACTACAAAAGCTCAATAAAATGTTAAAAAAAAGAAATGTAGCTGAGCAAGCCATGGGGGCAAGCCAGTAAGCAGCCTTTCTCTCCACGGTTCTTGCCTTGGCTTCCCCAGACAATGAACTGTAACCTGTATGATGAAATGGGTCCTTTTCTCCCTTTTGATCATGGTGTTTATCACAGCAACAGAAAAGTAAACTAGAACTATGTTTCCTAATCACTAGAGCTTGAAATCCTTCCTGTAGACCACATAACTCGTATTAGGCATTTTAGGATCATACTATCTGCAAAGACAACAGTATTTCCACTCCTAAAAGCTGCCTGCATACTCATGATACATATCAACTGGTATATATCAGGATACAGGTATTAATAACTTATTTCACCTGGACAACTTTCAGAGATTTGTGCCTTCTAGTATTAACAATCTAGTTACCTGAGATAACTATTAAGCATTAGGACAGAAGCACATGCACATACATGCCATGTAATTAAAAAGAGAACTGGACTTGAAATTGAAAATCAATTTAACATATTTTTAATTAATAGATTTATTTAAAAATTTAAAAAATATTGTAAATCTAATTTTTGTATTTTGAAATATATATTTTTAGGGGAAAATTAAATTTCATGTGTATTGTCTCTAATTTTTGCATTAAAATTTTATTCTTTGGTCAATGATACCAGTACGACTGGTATACAAAGTAAATTTTAAAATGATTCTCACTGACAGTCGAATGATGAACTACTCCTTTAAATAAAAGCACGACGACACACTGAAATTTTCATTATAAAATATATCCAATTAACCTCATTCTGTCTTATGTTCTATTCAGAAAATATGTTATTTACAATTAATCTATTTTAGAACATGGTTCTAAAATGATTCTATCTATAATGTGATATACCCTGATTACAAAGTAGATGTTCAGGTTCAAATCATTAGGACAGAAATGTTCAAGGAGACAAAATTGTATGTTGGAAAAGTACATGCATCAACCAATTAGAAAATACTATCAAATAATAACATTTTAGAAAGACAAAATCTAAGACAAATGTTTAGCCAGTAAATGTTTAAAGAGTGTTACTTGTATAATTCACTATTTCTGACAAATATGAAGCACAATTTGAGGAGGGGGGGAGAAGGAGGACAGGGGAGAGAGAGGGAGAGGGAGAGAGAGAAAAAATGCATGCATATGTCCATGTATGAAGGCCGGAGGCTAACCCTGAGTGTAGTTCCTGGGATGAGCAGCAGACCGGGCTAGGACAGATGTCCAAGGAGCCCCAGAGTTCCTCCAGTCTGTCCCTGCCAGAGCTGCACAACAAGAATGTGTCCTAACCTGGCTTTCTACACAGGGCTGAGGAGGGAACTCAGCTCTTCAAGCTTGCACAGCAAGCATTTTTAACAACAGCATCATCTCCCCAGCCCCTCACCATTTGAAGTCCTAATTTTCATGTTAAACACATCATTTCTTACTGTCACACATTCAATTTGACATGATTTCTCTTAAGAGGTTATCTAGTGGACTTGTTCCTTTGGTCTTTTTCCTTTCACAGTTCTAGACTGCCGCTTCTACATCGACTAACTTAAACCTTAAGCACTGATGAAAAATCCAAGCAGAATCCTGGATTACACCCACTTTAGAATATTTTTAGTTCTTCAAATCACTTTTGTCATAGTTTTTTCTTGGCCCTTCAACCAAACTATTAAGTCATACGCTCTTAATACCAGAAAAAGTCCTGCCAAAGTAACGAAGTTGAATTTTTGCTTAGTTTTCCTTCTTATAAAACTAAGTAATACACTGCCCAGCAATGATGTCACAGTTTTGGATTTATGATGGAACAATAGCTATGTGATTCAGTATTAGGGAGTAATTACAGAATCATGCTCACTCACGAACAAGACTAGGATATCTAGCTTTAATATTAAACCTATGAATAACATTATTCTGATCTCTCCCCTTGCTCCAAGTCCTTCCAAGGTACAGCACAAAGCTGCTGGAGATGAGGCAAAATAAGACAAACTGGGTCCCTGCTCTTATACATGGAGATGGTTGATAAGCTAATAAACCAAGTAAATAAAGTAAAGAAAATTACTTCAGAGAAGACAAGTGCTATTAGCAAAACAAAATGGGGTGAAAGACCAGAAACAAAGCCTAGAGGGGTAAACTGGCAGTACCTAGTCAGAAAAGGCTCTCTCGGAGTTGAAATTTGAGCTAAGATTTTAGGAAGAGAAGGAGTGAGGCATGGGAAAAACCAAGGTCGAGTCAAAAGAGCTGCTGCTACATTCAACAGCCAGAGAAGCTCTGTGTGGCAGGAAAGTGAACTCAGCTCTAAGGCTGCCCCAGAGTCAGGCCACAGGGAGACTGACAAGCTATGACAGAGCTAGCATTTATCCACAGTCAAATCTAAAAGACTATTCATCTAAATCCAATCCCAAACAAGCTATTTAAATTCAGACTTTTGAGAGTAAGGGGGTTGGGGCTAGGGATACAATTTACTGGTAGAGCATGTATAAGACCCTGAACCCTAGGTTCGATCCCAGTACTGGGGGAAAAAAGCAGAGAGTAATGAGCACAAGAGGGTTCATCAACAACAGTATATTCAAATAGGATTATTACCTCAAGTTTGAGCTTCTCAATTTCTTCGTTTGCTTCTTTCAGACACAATGTGTCTCTATCTAGAAGGTCCTGATGTTCGGCATACCACTCTAATCTTTTTTGAAGATGAAAGATTTCTTGCTTATGTGTTTCTTCTAAAATTTTTATTTCATATAATTTTTCACCTACAAGGCAAAACAACTCAATGACTTGATAGTAATTTTTCAAAATAGGAAATAAAATTCCAAAAATTTTAATAAAAACGTGTTTATCTTATGAAAGCATTATGATACACAAGAGGCATAAAACAGTCATGTATACATTATGCTGTCTAGTTTAGGGTTTTAGTAGGAGCCAAGATACTGTATTTAGAATCCAAACCTTCAACCTCACAGTAAGGATGGCTATCAAGAAATCCTTGATAAATCTGTTTCCCACTGACTTACTATGAAAGTAAAGTTATTTCCATGGGGAAAATAAATTCCAGAAATAAGGAATGCCTACAATTATATTGAAGAACAATGGCAAACATTTATGAGTGTATTATTTTAGTTACAACAAATTTATATGAAAAGTATTCAAATGTTTTAAAATTTCTTTTTTATTTTTCTTACCAACAGTTAAGAATGGACTTCTTTGTACACATCTGACACTGAGGCTGAAGGTGTGTAGATGGAGGACTGCAACTGGCAAGCACAGAAGTGTGCTGAAGGTTCCCACTGGAGCCCCGCCCTCCAGGCCTCACTTTCAGCTTACGATCTGTCAAAGTCCATATCAAATGCCATTCTTCTCTGAAACTCTTATCTGTGTGTTCTTACTTTTCCTTATGCTAAAATTCTGTTCACTCTTCCTGTGTTTTTCTTAGTGGGGACTGTGTCATGTTTATCTTTCTATTCTTTATAATGCAATTTTATGTGTTTATGTGGCAAATACTTAAAAGCATGTTTCAGACCTGCCTTCAGGAAGTTCACAGCCAAGCTCAGATCATAGGCATATAAACAACCAAACAGAAAAAGCTATGAACTCAAACTACTCCTTGATTCTTTCCTGATGTAATTATTCATGTTAGAAATAAGAAGTATTCATCATTTCCTAACTGGATTAAAATGTTTCAAGATTATAAGATACTTCAAGGATAAGCATTTTAATTATATTGTTCAATTTCTATCACTTGATAAAGGCCTGGAGAGCTTGAAATTAGGATTAGATTAGAGAATAAAGGCAAACTGTTGCGGCTCTGTGCTTACCTGTGGCAAAAGCAAGCTGATCTCTGGCTTGGTCTCTTTCTTTCTTCACTTTTTCCAAGTCTACTTCAAGAGCTTGTTTGTCTTGCTTCAGTCTTTTGATGTTTTCCAACAGACTGTTCTTTTCTTTCTTGATATTTGAAGAAATACAAAAGCAGGTTACTTCCAAACATAATTAATAAATCATGGGATATTCTCTCCTTCACTCAATCTGTCAAAAATACTGCTATGAGACAATTTCTTAAATTTCAGGTCTGGTATTATTACTAAAAGAGACAGAAGGTGTCCAATTCCTGACCCACCAGTGGCTCCCCAGAGTTTATTAGCATTAGCTCTGATCATCTCAGCACTGCATGAAAGATTTTCCAATCTATAATCCCAATTTACTGCATTTACCAAGCACACTGGTGCTCAGTAGCTAACGCCTTGCCTGACCTGCAGTGATACCTCAAACCAAGTACTCCAGCCCTTCTACTCTCACTCCCTACAGCCTATTCTCCTCACAGCAGATAGGGGGATTGTAGAGTCAGCTAAAGACACTTCCATCCCAAACTTTCTGGTGGATCTTCTCTTGAGGTTAACTCAAGTCCTTAACCATGACAGCCCTGACTATGAATGACCATAACCACTACAAATCTACCTCCTATTCCACACTAGCCACGGAAACATCCCTGTTGTTCTCTGAATACACCCACCCCTAGAACACTACTCAGTGGTTTGCACTCACAGTCCCCTCTGCTCCCAGGAAACTTGATCCTTTATTTCATCAGTATTTCTGCTCAAAAGCCCCAGGAAGACCTTACCTGACCACTTTCTCTGAAAGAGCAAGCTTTCCCCTGGCCTCCAAATAGTGCTATATTTTCTCCTCTCAGCACTTGTCACAACCTCACATATTATCTATTTATCTAAAGCAGAATTTCATTTTGCTAACTCTGATGATTACGTCAAAAGGTTTGGGACATTAAAACAAAAGCTAAATTAATTCTCAAATACCCTATACTCCACATTACTCTTGAAGAGCTGTCTCACTTCTCTGGTTGACAAAAATCAAACTTACCCTTCAAAGTTTAGCTCACATTCAGCTAAGGAGTCCCAAGAATCCCTTCTGCGCTCACACACGCTTCCTGTACCTCTGTTGCCCTGTGTCATACAACTCTGATCTGTGTACATGCTCCTTCTCTGCATCTGTGGTTCCATGGAGACCACAACTGTGATTTATAGTTACCGGTTTACTTTATGGTGTCGTGTACTAAACAGATGTATATTAAATGGAATTCACAATTGTTGAAAAAATTCCTGGACTCACAGCAGTACACTTGGTAACTAGACTACAAATACAAATTCTGTATCATACTATCTTACAATGTAAAATTAAGCCCTTAAGAAAATAAATGTATTCATAAAGCATTGCATAATCTGTTTTTTTGATGACAACTCAGATTTAACTGCATCATTTCATTGTTTCATCTGTGTGATCTATGGATATCTTTTCAAAAGAAATGGACTTCAAGTTTTGAATACCCAAGTATCTTTCTGCAAATGCCATTTGTTTAATTACTTCAGTTGACTTAGAAATGCTGTCTAGTAGTACCTACTTCATTACAAGGTTTTAGAACCGGAAGTATCTTTAAACATGCTGAGTTCATTTACAAAATCAATACTTAAATGAATGTCTACTCTAGGCCTGCCTAGTTTCAGGGACAGAGACTGCCCACCTCCAAGAAATCCGGTCTGACTAGTGTCAATAACTGTGGGTGAGGGGGTTTGCCTGGCAGGTAGTACTTTCCTCCCTTGTAAGTTATTATGCAAACATTCTGAGGGGCCTCTGCCTGCCTCTCTGGCCTAATCTTCTACCACTCTTTTCCTACTCATGTCTAAATCTTAGATAGTAATAAACATTCCTAATTCAGGCCTTCGTTTGCCTTTCCCCTAAGCTGAAACTCCATCTTTGCAGTTGCTCACTGCTTCTCTTCAACTCTCTGCTCAAACTGTGCTCAGAGAAAGCTACCTCATCTGCACTGTGAGATCTGCCTCATCTCTCCATGGCCTCCCCCTCCCCTAACAATCTATTTCAATCCCCCCCCCCCAAACAATTCCTTTCTTTTT